TGGTGGGGGGTACTTATTAGGGTGCAAGCTTTCCCCCTTTATGTTATTCTGACGCGCTCGAGTAAATCCCAAAATCCCCGGTTGGCCTCCCCTACTATAAAGGACCGAGAGGATTATCTGCTGCGGCGTTGTGAGAGATCGCCAGGATCTCTTTTACGGAATTGTGATCAAGGCGGTCTGGTGCGTGCACACGAGGTAAACCGATTCGATTTGGCTATCTTGCGGAAGGACGGTGTGAGTTTAGAACAAAGGTTTTAAACCGCTTGGAGTGTGCACGGAGTGAGTTTAAAACGAAGGTTCTAAACCGAGAGAATTATCTGCTGCGGCGTTGCGAGAGATCGCCAGGATCTCTTTTACGGAATCGAGAGAATTACCTGCTGCGGCGTTGCGAGAGATCGCCAGGATCTTTTACGGAATTGTGATCAAGGCGGTCTGGTGCCTGCACACGAGGTAAACCGATTCGATTTGGCTATCTTGCGGAAGGACGGTGTAAGTTAGAACGAAGGTTCTAAACCGTTTGGAGTGTGCATCCGATGCAATCGCAAATAACGCCAGATTATTTGATACACCAAAATCAAGTAAGTCCACAACATATTGCATCAGATCATTACGACTCACAGTTTGTTGCTAAGCTCATTGTTCAGATGAATAATTGCAATCTCATTAGAGGAGCTTCAAGAGCATGTTACCAAAGTAGTGTCTGCCTCGTAAACAGAGGGCTAGCCAGGTTATCCGGGCCTTAACAGGCATCTGCCAGTCCGACGGGACTCCTAGACGGATTACCATTGCCGAGGTTGAGACAAATGCTTATCCCTTGCTTTGCGGTGCCGGCATAAATATTGGATGGGAAAGCATCATACATACATTACAGAAGGATCGGGATGCACATTCACAAGTCAATAAGTAATACCATTCCTATAAGAATCATCAGACGGTTGCAACGTTAACTGAACGTTACGCTGATATTAACGTCATGGTCTGAGACTTGAGTCAGCTATCAATAAACTTGACGGAAAGTAGTTTCCTTTCTACGACTACGAGCTGAATGCTTCCTTTTCACATTGTATGCGTTACGAGTTGAATACTGTCACTCACGTTATCTGCGTTATGCGTGCACAGCCATACTATATGCTTTAATACACCTTATACTTTGAGATATTATGATTTAGATATTTCGCTATAACGACTCTACTTAACCTATGTTTATTGATATTATTGTTATTCTTGTTATGATATATACTGTATGTTAATTTTCTTTATTCTCTTATGTGAAATCATTACTTTGCGTTAGATATTAATCCAAATATGTTAATCGATCTTATTTGCTTGAACACTGATAGTTTTACACCGTTATTGAATTATATGAATTGTGGCGGTGTGTTAGCGTTTATTGCCTAATCTGACCCTGGTTATGCTGTTGCCCTCTGTCTATTTGTACGTTCTCATGTTACAAACTAATTGACGCGACTGTATAAACTCGATTTGCTAATACTATAGTCTATTATTAATTTTTAAAATTGTGATAATTACACGTTGATGATTTACTCTCCTGACCAACGTATCTGTGAACTAGCAGTTCGTCCCCACGAACTAAACATTATTATTCCAGATAATTTTGTTAATAAGTATTCTCTACCAACAAATAAAGTAGAAGCATCTCATTTAAAAGAATTATGTTCAGTACAAGAAACTGCTTTAGATTTCGGTTTAGCATTAGCTCCAAAATTAAAAAGAAAGTTATTGGATTCAAAAAATTATTTTCTGAAGATCAAAGTAAGCAGTGCTACAGGCGTAATAAGTAATGCGGTTAGTTCAGGATTGGAATTTATTTCACATGAGAAAGGCACCTTAAAGTTTATTACAACTGTTTGGTTTATTAATATGATATCAAAGTGGTTTAAAATTATGAGTTCTAGAAATTTAAGAATAGCTTTGAGTAGATTATCGGAAAACAAATTTTCTGAAACAATAGCCTTTTTGGAAGAACTTATAGAATTAATGACTTCTATAAAAATTGGTTAATCTGGAGCATGGAAACCATTTCAAACAGGGATAATAATATCAACGCAATCAATTATTGATTTATAAAACATATCTACTAAACTGTGAAAACTTTGAATTTGTATTTACATCGCGCTTCATGTAGGATTGCGTAGAAAATTTGTTTTCTATTATACGTTCGAAGAATGTCATACCAAATGCTCTTCAGTTTAAAAACAATCTGAAAATAATTGCAGTTTCACAATATATGAAAAGCGTTTCACATAGTTCGTATCAAGAAGATGATAGGGAATTTTTTTTCAGAATTTTTGAATATTCTAATGAAAGAAAATAAAAATAAACTTAAAGATTCCAGCCACAATCAAACAATACAATCGGTATCTCTTGAAAATAACAAAATTAATGTTTAATAACACAACATTAAATTGTTTATACTATGTTGCAGGGTATGTAATACATAACATAATTAGTAAAAGTAATATATCATGTATTGCATGTACTAGTTCCGTAGGATCAAAGACACCTACAATATCTCCTTATGCATACTTAACTAAAGTTCGATGTTTTAATGAGGAATCTTTGTTTTTTGTTAATGTTTTACTTACCGAGTTCTTGAAACCGGGAGTACGGGAAAGCAACGGAATAATCTAGACTCGAGTTTCGGGAAAAGTATATATTCTTGATTATTACTACAATGAGACTACTTGCTCGTGTACAAAAGGATAACGATATAATAATAATGATGGCGGCTAAAGCGGCACGTAATCCCCTCGTCTATATATCGTCTCGGACCAGCGCCACCTATGGTCCAACAGGGGTAGTCTGTTGAAGCGCACTCAACGCGCGAATAGAAAATTATGAAAGGGTTCCATTTGCTACATCCCTCCCCCGGAGGTGTAAACATTAGTCTAATAATTTCGTGGGTGTAATTATTTTTCGTCCGCTACGGGTCCGCTTTTTAGTCTGTTCGGTAATCTCGTTCTCGGTTGGTATTCTTCCGTTTTCAGTCGTGACTCGTTTTACCTTTGATAAGGAGAAAGGCTCGCCAGCGTTTGAAGATTGTTTGTACTGATCTTTGAACTGTTTTAATTCCTCGCTAGCTTCCGCTGTTGATAGTTCTAGGGAATAAAGCCGCTGTACTGGGCGTACTAATTCTCCAGAGGCTATTTGGAGCTTGGCTACACGTATCTTCCCGTCCTGTCCAGGAAAGACTTGAATTACCTTCCCTAGCGGCCAATTCAGACGTTTCAGATGATCACTGCCAATAACTACGACGTCTCCTACATTGATGTTGGTCTGAGAAGTTTGGCTCCGTCTACTATTCTTGCGTGATAATTGTCCCAGGTATTCGCTTCTGAATCTCTGGCGTAGATGTTCGCGTAATGTCTGACGATATTTGATTCTTTTGTTGAGCTTCTCAGCGGAAGCGATTGCGTCTAGATCCGGCATCCCGCTGTTGCGTGTGTCTTGTAGAAACAGCGCTGGTGATAATGGAATGAGTTGGTGAGGCTCTTCTGCAATATATGTAATTGGGCGGGAATTAATAACAGTCTCACAGTCGCATAAAATCGTTGTAAGCTCCTCATAGTTTAGAGAAGTTCGTCTTAACACCTTCCGTAGAATTTCTTTTACGGATCTTTTAGACTCTCCCACCATCCTCCCCACCAAGCTGCCGTGGGAGGGTTGAAGATCCATTGAATTTTCTCCACTGAGCCGTATTCTTCGACTTTCGTCCAGTTGATTTCCTGAAGATTTCGGCTGGCTCCCGTGAAGTTGGTCCCGTTATCTGTGTACTGCACAGGGTCTTCCTCGCCGCGCCACGAACCTGCGAAAGGCTTCTAGGAACAATTCAGTAGATAAGGACGTTACTAATTCCAGATGGATGGCTCTATAAACTTCGCAGGTAAAAAGGCAGATCCATGCTTTGGTACCGTTTTTCAAAAATAGTGGGCCTGCATAATCTATGTCTGTAATCTCGAAAGCTGTTGCGTCTGTAACTCGGTTTTCTGGTAACGCTACTGGCGATGTCTCGATTTTCTTGGCGTTGTATCTTTTACAAATGATGCACTTTTGAATAACTGACTTGATTGTGCGTCTGCTCTTAATAATCCAATATTGTTCACGCAACCGATTCATTGTGATTTCTGTCTGTGCGTGGTTTAACTTCCTATGCGTGAACTCGATCAACTTATTGACAACTGGATGGCCGCAGTGCAGCACAATCGGATAACGAAACTCGAATGAGTTCTGTCTGTTTGAAATTAAGCTCTTTGTTCTTAGGAGTCCCATTTCATCAGTATACACACATAAAGTGTTCAGTCTGGGATCGTTGGCACCTGAGAAACTTTCTTCTTGGACTAATCTCAGCAATATTAGTTCCGCTAATTGGACTTCCTTTGTTGATAATGGTGATATAGATCGAAAATCATTCTTTTGGTGGCTGTTGTTGATAAATCTTCTTATCCACGCCAGTGTACGAATAATTCGAGCGTAGCTCGATGAGGTTGATAGACGATCTACTAAATTTCGATTGCGAAGATTCCTGCTCACATTGTTCCCGTCCTGGGCTATCAATTGAATATCGTGATATATTTTTCTTGCTCTTGTGGTTTTCTTAGTTTCGCTAGCTATTAACTTCTCGTCTGTTGTAAGATCCAGGTTTGGCCATAACTCTGGCGAGAGCTTGAGCCACGAAGGCCCTTCCCACCAGCGAGATTCTAGAAGTTGTTTTGCTTTGCAGCCTCTTGAAACCAGATCTGCAGGGTTCATTTCTCCTAGTACGTATCGCCAAGATTGTGGATTACTTAATTGGCATATTTTTTGAACTCTGTTCCAAACGAACGTAGCCCACTGTGTTTCTCTCTGTATCCAAGACCGTCGATGAATCTGTCCAGTTGTATTGTTTGATCTCTGGATTGTTCAAGGCATTGACCACGTTGTTCATTAACCTGGCTCCTATCGAGGCGCTTAATAGTTCCAATCTTGGGATCGTTGCCTTTTCTTTTGGAGCTATTCGGGATTTGACTTGTATGAAGTGCACTTCTATCTTGCTGTTGTGCTCGATTCTGGCGAAGATTACCGCCCCATAGGCTGTCTGACTTGCATCTACAAAAAGATGTAGGGTTTCGTTATTCTTTAAGGTCCATCTTGGGATCTTCAGGTGACGTAAATGTTCTAACTCTCGTTGCCATTGCAGGAAGGCTTCTTTGTCGTGGTTCTCGACTTCTACATCCCAGTCGGTATTCTTGTTCCACAAGCTCTTAAGGAGCAACTTAGGCATGAGTTGTACTAGACATGTTATTCCTAGAGGGTCAAATATTTTTTGTGTAGATGATAGAATTTCTCGTTTTGTAGCTTTGATTGGAGTTTTCTGTGACAATGTTGTAGGCGATAACATCAATATGTCTTCCTTGACATTCCAAACCAGCCCCAGTACTGGAATCTCCTTGATGGAACCTAGTCTGTTCGAATATTGCCACCCTCTTAAATCGAAGCCACCTTTGGCCAAAATTGAAATTGGTTTCTTTTTAAATAATATCGCTTCTTCTTCCGAATCAGTACTGGTAACACAATTGTCCACGTAGAAGGACCGCTTCAATTTCTGGATGATGCTCTTCTCGTGGGCATCTTTGGCTTCTATTAATGTTTGTTCTAAATGAAGAGCAATGGTAGTCCCTAGCAAAAAAGGGCTGCTGGCGATTCCAAAGACTACTCGATATATTACAAATTCGTCCGGGCCTTGCGTCCTTTTCCACAAGAATCTCATGATGCCGTGCTCCTTAGATGCTACGCTGATTTGTAAAAATGCTTTCCGTATATCAGCAATAAGGCCTATTTTGTTCTCTCTAAATCGTAAGAGCAGCGATGGAATGAGTTCTATGAAGTTTGGTCCGGTTTCTAGGCACTGATTTAGAGTTGGTTGATTTTTTCCTTTAACTAATGCATCAAAGACCGGTCGAATACGAGTTGTACTTCCTTCCTTGATAACGAGTCGGTGTGATAAGTAGAAGCTTGAATTACTCGTTTCTTCTTCTCGAACTACTTCTATGATGTCTTCTTTCAGCCACTCATCGAAGATTTTCTCGTATTCATAAAATAAATTTTGATCACGTAATCTCTTTAGTGTGTTCTCTAGTCTTTTCTCTGCTACTTCTCGATTTTCACCGAGCGGAGGGTGGTTCTCCTTCCAGGGCAGGATCACTTTATACTTTCCCGTCGAATTGATCTTGGTAGTTTCTTGAAATTTCTTCAGAATTTCTTTCTGGTATTCTTCTTTTAATAACCTTTGAATTGGATCTTTGATGCCGAGAACGTCGAGACTCCACATGTTTTCTGGACTTACTTCTGAGGAGAACATCGCGGAGATCATCAAGGCAGTGTCTTCTTGTTGTTCGTCGGGGACTTTTCCCATCAAAGTTCAGCCGAGTTTGGTTTCCATAGCGATGTCGTTCTTCAACCTGTACATCCTTTCTGTGTATAACTTACCAAGAATGTCCGCTCCTATGAGTATGGATATCGGCTGTATATCCGTACCTATATCGAAAAAATTTATAGCTTTCTGTTGTAACTTTTCTTACCAGGTTCCTTTTACTGGTTGCAAAATATTCTGGCAAATTGTATCCTGATGAAATGCCACGAAGTTGCATGTGTATGTATCATCCAGTGAACGTAGAGTGACTCGATAACATTTATATTCCTGAGGTGCGGTTTTGATACCGCCAAAGAATAGGTGCGTCATTGTTTGCGTATCTAATTGTTTGAAACCCAGCTGCTCGACTACGTGTCCTAGAATATAAGAACGATGTGAACCTAAATCGAGAACTGCACGTACTACTCGTTCTTTGCAGCAGTTCACTAATTTGACACGTAATGTTTGTAGAAATACTCGCGGATTTACTGAAAGATTTGCTAGATTCTGTCCTTCTGTTTTTTCTTTTATGTCATCAGCTGCTTTTGGTTTGTCCGCAGACATGAAACGACACATTAACAAAACATGCTTTTTGCTGCACCAAGCACACTTTACATTGTGTTTACATTTCTTGCAACTGTGACCTACCTTGAGACAGTAGAAGCACGCATTCTTATCTTTTACCACACTTGTTCTTTCTTCCATGGACATTTTCTTAGCATTGTCACAGTGGGAACTATCGTGGCTCTCGTTGCAGAAAATGCATCTAATGATGCGTGTCTCTTTAACATTGAGAAATCCTGCTGCTGTCGGTATTTCACTGGGTTCCGTCTTCTAATATTTGGCTTTTTTATCTTTGCTATCCTTTGTGCTTAGGTTGAATCCGTTGACTGCCAAAGCTATACGTTGTTCTGCTTTAACCTTGGACTGCAAGAAAGTCATTAACTTAGTCAAACATTCTTTCATATCTGTGATACCCGTCGCTAAAGGATATCTTTGCCACGCTCTCAATAGTTCTTCTGGTAGAGATGACTCGACTAGGAAATACAGCATAGCTGCACACATCTCCGTGGTGACGTCCAGCGATTCTAAAGCTCTTAAATGAGTTTCCAGCTTATCATAAAGGTCAATAATTGGTGTCTTAGAATCCTTTTTAGATGCGTTAGTTAATACTAGGTTAAGTAACTCACGGATATATAATTCTATTAACAGCTCTTTCTTACCGAATCTGTTTTTGAGACTGTCAATGACCTAGTTCTCGTCGGTAGAGGGAAAACTATTGTCGAACCCGTGAACCTTTAATCATAACTTGCGTAAGGTACTGGAATTTATCTTCTTTAGCGATCGCTTGATCCTCGTGAATATTTTTAAATAAGCTCCAAAATAGGAGCCATTCCTTTAAGTTCCCGCTAAATTTCTGTAGCTCGATTTTAGGAAGCTTGAATCTTTTATCTTGAGTTACTTGTTTGGCTCGCGATGGGCCTGGAAGGTTATGTGGAAGGGGAGGGGGGGGGGGGGGGGCATCGGCGCACTGAGGCGGAGGTTCGGTATATCGTAAAACTCATCGGTTAGTATTTGATACGATACTCGTCGGCTCCCTCCTTTATCATCACATCTTCTTGTATATCTTCCGAATCCCGCATTAACTGGACTAGCTGTTCGTTCAACTATTCCAGTTCATTGACCTTTTCCTTGAAAAGTGCGTACAATGCCTTGATTTCGTTACGCTCTTCCCGTTCGATCTCGTTGCGTAACGATGTGTATATTCTGGTGAATGCCGCCCGCACGACCGATCGCACTTTCCGAAGTTTATCCATCGTGTCTCAAAGAGAATCACTCCCGAGTCCTTTTTCACGGTCGCCAGATGTTACTTACTGAGTTCTTGAAACCGGGAGTAAGGGAAAGCAACGGAATAATCTAGACTCGAGTTTCGGGAAAAGTATATATTCTTGATTATTACTACAATGAGACGACTTGCTCGTGTACAGAAGGATAACGATATAATCATAATGATAGCGGCTAAAGCGGCACGTAATCCCTTCGTCTATATATCTGTGGAAGTGTTTGATGCAATAAAGTCGTCACAATATTCCACGAACGAAACGGATTACTTTTTATTGATTCATCGATACATGTATCCATATATATATATCACTCCTGCCAACTTCTACTAGCGCCCTAGAGGAAAATCCCCACTTGCTACATTGGTGTAGTTCTGGGAACTAATTGTTGCTTCCGCCGTCGCGCTGCAGTCGCCTGAGTTGCCGACCTTGCTGGTTCTGATCCGGGCTGACCCGCCACAGTCACTCCTTCCCCAGTGACTTTGTCACGATGAAAATGGGGCGTCTGTTGAACTTTGAATCTCACTATTTTTGCTGGATAAGTTCGCAAGGTTTTCTTCTGTAATGCCGTGTCGGTATCGTCTGTTTCCTCGGTAATGGTAATAAATGCTGGTTTTAGGCGTTCAGTGGATACAACCCTCTCTTGATTTCCTACTTTGATTTTGAATATCCTGTCGCTGATTCTCTCGAGAACTCTGTGAGGGCCTGAATATGGAGGCTCTAACGGCGCTTTGACGTGATCAGCTCGTAGGAATACATAGGGGCATGACTCCATGCCTTTTAGTATAAACATAGACTTACGTGAATGGTGTGCGGCTGGTGTTGGTCGCAGAAGCCGCATGAATTCTCTATGGTTCTCTAGAAAAATCTGTGGGTCTTTGGCGGTTTCTTCATCGATGAAAAATTCGCCTGGAACGCTGAGTGTTGTGCCATAAAGAAGTTCTGCTGGAGAGGACTCTATGTCTTCTTTGATAGCTGTGCGTAGTCCCAGAAGAACTGTAGATAGGAGCTCTGTCCAAGGTGTGTTTGAGTGGCACATTAGTGCCGCTTTAAAAGACCGATGCCATCTTTCAATCATTCCATTCGATTGGGGGTGGTAAGGAGTTGTCCGGATCCGTTTAGCTCCTAGTAGTTTTGCGAGGGCATTGAATAAAGCTGACTCGAATTGAGAGCCTTGATCTGTTGTGATTGTTTTAGGTGTTCCAAAACGAGAAACCCAGACGTCGTAAAATGCCTTACAGACAGTCTCAGCTGACATGTCCTGTAACGGAACTGCCTCTGGCCAGCGGGTGTATCTGTCGATGATCGTCAAACAATATCGGAAGTTGTTCACTTGTGGTAACACCACTAAGTCTAGATGAACGTGTTGAAATCGATGCGCTGGTGGTTCGAATTGCTGTAACGGTGGTTTATTGTGTCTTTGAATCTTACTCCGTTGGCAAGCTACACAGTTTCGAACCCACATGAGACTGTCTGTTTTGATACTTGGCCAGATGTATTTTTGCCGTAAGAGTTTGCTCGTTGTTCTTCCGCTTGGGTGTGATAGATTGTGAATCGTCTCGAAGATTTTGTGTCGAAGATTCTTTGGAATGTACGGACGAATGATATTTGTAGAAGTGTCGCAATATATCTCTTCTCCTGACTCGTGCTTGATTTTCTTGAATCTTAATGACGTCCTTCCTCTTACTATTTCTTCCAGTTCTTCGTCGTTTTGCTGAGCCTCTTTGAGTTCTTGGGCGTCGACAACCGATAGTACAGATATGGCGTTGAGTCGTGAAAGTGCGTCTGCTACGACATTTTCTTTTCCGTTGATGTGTAATATCTCGGTAGAGAATTGTGAGATGAAATCGAGTTGTCTTAGTTGGCGTGGAGATGCTTTTTCTGGGTTTTGCCGAAAAGCATACACGAGAGGCTTATGGTCGGTTTGGATGACAAAATGGTGAGCTTCAAGGATATGCTTAAAGAACTTGATTGCTGCAAAGATTGCTAGCAACTCACGATCGTATGCCGAATACCGACGCTCCGCGGGAGTCAATTTCCTGAAGAAAAATCCAAGCGGTTTCCAGGTGTCGATTTTCTGTTGCAACGTTGCGCCAATGGCTGAGTCTGATGCGTCTGTGATTAACGTCAATGGTGCATTTTCTGCTGGATGAGAGAGTGATACTGCCTGGGCGATGCTCTTCTTGCATTGTGTGAACGCCTCTTCTGCTGCCGGACTCCAGGGCACTTTTCTTTTGTCGTTTTTGCATGAATCCTTTAATAAATCGGTTAGAGGAATTTGAATATGAGCTGCTGACTTGATGCATGGTCGATAGTAATTGAGAATACCGAGAAAACGTCGCAGATCGGCAATGGTCTCCGGCTTACTGGCGTTTGCAATTGCTTCGACTCGATTGGTCGGTGGGTGGTATCCTTGGCTGTTTATAGAATAACCCAAGAAAAAGACTTCTGTTCGACCAATTTGACACTTACTGAAGTTGATGAAAAGTCCGAACTCTTTGAGCCGCTGCAGAACCAATCGCAGATGTTCTCGATGTTCTGTTTCGTCCGTTGATGCAATAAGTATGTCATCGATATAACAGAATGCGAAATCAAGGCCACGAAGGACCATGTCCATGAATCGTTGAAAGGTTTGCGATGCATTCTTGAGCCCAAAGGGCATGACAACAAATTCAAAGAGTCCAAATGGCGTTGTCAAAGCCGTCTTTGGAATATCTTCTTGGGCCACCGGAACTTGGTGGTACGCCCGTTCCAGGTCTAAGGTTGAAAAGATATTTCTTTTATGAAGATGTTCTGAGAAATCCTGTACGTGTTTGATTGGATATTTATCTGGTAATGTGATACCATTTAACTTACGGTAATCGCCACATGGGCACCAATCTCCAGATTTCTTTCGCACCATGTGTAGGGGACTAGCCCAGGGGCTGTCGGATGGACGACAGATTCCTTGTTCGAGCATTAGCTGGAATTCCTGTTTGGCTTGTCTTAGTTTCTCTCCAGATAGTCTGCGGGGACGTTGAGAGATTGGTGCTGCAGTTGTAACTATATGATGCACAGTTGCTTTTTGACGATTTCCCTGATTCTGATGGGGTTTTGTGACGTCAATAAATTCCCGGAAGATATCAGCAAATTTGTTTAGTTTATCCAGAGTCAATATATTGT